ATGTCATTCTCATAAAATTGTATGTTTTGATTCTTCTTATTTTATTACTATCTGAATGTGATTAATTCATCAGCCTTGTCTTCAAGCTGTGCTATTCTTTATTCTACCTGATCTAATCTATTAGTAAAGCTTTCAACCGAGTTTTGTGTTTGATTTAAAAATATATATATTTTTAGTTGTATATGGACACAATCCCTTTATTTATTTACTTTTTTATGTGGTGCTGAGGTTCGAATCCAGTGTCTCACACATGCTAGGCAAGTGTTCTACCACTGAGCCACAACCCCAGCCCTGTGTTTGACTTTCTGAGTTTTTTATATGCAAGATTTATGTTTGGTTCTTTTCCAGAATTTCTCTTTATTGAATTGCTTTCATATGCTGCATTGTCTTTCTTAATTCATTCAGCTGTTTATTTGTATCCTCTTTAAATTCATGGATCATTTTTAACATCATTCTTTTGAATTTTTGGTCTGGCATTTCATCAACTTCAGTATCAGGAATCATTTACTAGAATATTGTGAACTTTTAGATGAGTCATGCTGCTTTGTTTGTTCACTTCTTGTGTCCCATGTTGATTTCTGTGAGGGCCTTCTTAGAGAACAGCCTTCTCTTGATAACGTGTCCTGTGATATCAGAGTGTTGTGAAGTGTTGAGTTTAATTCCAACCAGACTTTATAGTATGGCTGTGATTGGTGGGATTTAACACACATGTGCAGTGTGAGAGCCTTAGGGTTCCACTTCTTCTTTAGGCCTCAGAAAAATGGGACCCCTCTGGAATATATTAGGTAGGCATTCTGTGGTCACTCCTTTAGTTTTTTACTTTTTTGTGGGTGGATGGGTGATGCTGGGGATTGAAACCAAGGCCTTGTGCATGCAAGGCAAACACTCTATCAACTGATTATATCCCCAGCTCTCCAGTTTTTAACGTGTTCTGAAAGGGTATGGGCGCAACCTATGCTAAGGTCCTTGATAGGTGCAGTATTCTACAATCTTTGTGTTATTTCTCTCTGTTGTTGCTTTGGTGGTGAATTTCAAGAACGGGTTTTAAAGTTTCTCCCAGCCATGCCTACGTGGGGCCAAATCTTCAGCTGGGGACTTTGTCTCTCTCCAGCAATGTTTGAGTAGAGCTGGGTTTTGGGTAATGTAAAATGCAATTTCTCTTAGCTGGGCTGGAAGTGTCTCTTAGCAGTAGAGCATCTATCCACTATGCTCAAAGTGTCAGACTTGATTTCTGGCACCATGTAGAAAGAAGAGGAAAAAAAAAAACAATAACAACAACAATAGAAGCAGAGCAGGTACAGAAAGTAAAAACCAAGCAAAGACTATGATGTACACATTGCAAACAACAGAAATTATGGAGGTAAAATAATACACAATAAATTGAAAAGTTTAAAAAAGATAGAAAATTAAGACAGATAAAAGGGGACAGGAAAATTTTAAAAAATAGAAAATTCAAAAAGAGAAAAGAATGAAACTAGGAGAAAATATAAAATGAAATCAATAGTTAAAAAAATAAAGAAAACCAAAAAGAGAAGAAAAAAATTTGAGCCAGGCATGGTTACAGATGCCTATAATTCCAGAGACTTTGGAGGCCGAGGCAGGAAGATTACAAGTTTGAGGCCAGCCTCAGCAACTTAACAAAAGAAGGAGAGAGAAATTGAAAAAAAAAATTTACACACACACATGAATCAAATAGTAAAAAAATGAAAATGTTAGCCTGACAAGGTGGTACCCCCCCAGCCCCCCAATAATTCCCGCTACTTGGGAAGCTGAGACAGGAGGATCACAAGTTTGAGGCCAGCCTTGATAACTTAATGAGATCTTGTTTCAAAAGAAAATAAAAGGGACTGGGATGTAGTTCAGTGGTAGAGCACTTCATGAGGCCCTGGATTCAATCCCCAGTACTAAAATTAAAAACAAAAACATTATTTGCTGAGGTTGTTGATCATGCAGGCAAAAGTAGTGGATGTTTGCTACCTATTTCCAATCAGCACTTTTTTCTGATTATTCTTAGGCCATGTGCCCCTGGAAAGAGAAAAGGTTGAGGGTTATTCACCCTTTCCTTCTTACTTTTGCTTTGCTTACCAGGCAACCAGAAGGAGTGATTTGTGACCTGAAGCATTTGAAATAGTTCTTAGCTGTTCTGCTCACCAGGATAAGCTAGCATGGAAGGCAGAGTCCCCTGGCAGAAATTTTCTCCAATGAGATTAGCTTATCACACTGCAAGGGTCAGGCAGCACATCTGGGTCTCCAGAACCCTTTGTGAAGCCCATTTGGAAGACAAGGTAACTATCTTCATTGAGCATAGGGGCATGGTGGATTCTGTGTAGTCCACTACCCATGATTCTGGTCTTCCAGGATCCAGCTCACTTACATAATCATTTCGTAATAGCTTGGTCCCCTGAACTTCCTCAGCTGGCCATCTGAGCAATAATATTAAGTGGGAAGTGTATTCTGCTCTAGTTTCTATGACTTGTTTCCTATTGCAAAGAGTTTTTAGAGGTTTATTTCAGTGGTATTCCCCTGAGGCCAAACTGGGTCTCAAGTTAAATGCCCACTGAGGGCTGGAGATGTGGCTCAAGCGGTAGCACGCTTGCCTGGCATGCGTGTGACCCAGGTTCAATCCTCAGCACCACATACAAATAAAGATGTTGTGTCCACCAAAAACTAAAAAATAAATATTAAAAAAAAATTCTCTCTCTCTCTCTTAAAAAAAAATGCCCACTGAGTGGTACATATATACAATGGAATATTACTCAGCCATAAAGAAGAATGAAATTACAGCATTTGCCAGTAAATGGATGGTACTGGAGGCTATCATTCTATGTGAAATAAGACAAACCCCAAACACCAAAGGCCAAAAGTTGTCTCATATTCGGATGCTGACTCACAATAATTGGTGGATAGGGAGGAGTGGAGGTTCACTGAATTGGACAGGGAGGAATGGGGGAAAAGGAGGAGGAGATGGGATTGGGAAAGACAGTAGACTGCATTGGACATAACTTTCCAATGTTCACATATGAATATATGATCAATGTAACTCCACATCATGTACAACCTCAAGAATATGTCAAAATATATTCTATTGTCATGCATAACTAAAAAGAATAAATAAATAAATAAGCAAGCAAGCAA